GCCCTCCGGGCATCGCCTGTGGCGTGACTCGGGAAAGCAAGGCTGTTGCGACTGGGAAAGCGGAGGCAACGCTGCTAGCCGTTTGGGTTGTTCTGTGGCAGGGTGACCCCTGCAGTTTTCCGGTGTAAAATGCGCCCGACAGTTGTGCGAGCATCTGCGTTCAAAGTCAAAATCTGTCCTTGGGCCATTAATTCGGGGGGTTTTAACAGGCACGTTGAAATTTGACTGGGAAAGTTAGCATGCAGAGTGTGTCTCTTTAATCCCCAGGTTTCAGTAGAGGGGCAGCTCCCTACTCCTGTGACCAGAGGAGCACACGTTTCCTCAGCAGCTGCGTTTGTCTCTCCGCTGAGGGCTGCCAGTGCCTGGACTCCTGCAAACCACAGAAAAACACGGGAGTGAAAACTCTGCTGTGCATAAGGGGCTTTATCTTTTCTTGCTAAGGCTTTTTCCTTTCTATGAAGAAATAAAACTTGTGGTCACAGCCTTTTTTAAAAATTGTATAATCTGAGTTTATTCTTAGTAACATTAAATTCCATATTTTACAAGCTAGTAACTCAGTTCAAGATGTTTACAATAGCAGTGGCTGGTGTGTTGCCAACCATTTGGCTTCTCGTCTTTTCATTATTTTTACTAATTTTCTTCTGGTAAGACTCCAGGCAAATACCAGCTGATTTCTCTCGCAGTTATTTTTAACTTCCAATCGGAACACATAATCTGGTCTCTTGGCTGTTCCCTTTTTGAAGGGGAACAAACAGGTCGTGAAAAATGTGTTTTTTCCATTTTGTGACTAAGTTCATTTCCACTTTGAAAGCTCCTTAGATAAACAATACCAACACATCTAGATTAATAGAGGTGTGAAGTAAAACCCTATTTTCAGCTTTCTATGAAGCTTCAGGATGGTAGAAGGCCAATATATAATCATACTACATAATAGTGTTCTTATGTAGTTTGAGATGTAGTTCTCAAGTTTGTAGTCTGTACATCTATTATAAAATCAGGATGCTATTTCCAATCAGTTAAGAGCATTCTACAACAGGATTTAGCTGTTTGGTTCCAGAGTTCTTCCAAAATCTTGGTAATTTATTGGTTTTTACGCTTCACCTTTCACCAAGCAAGATGTACTCTTCAAGTTTTGTGTTTAGAACTCATTTTTGATCTGGAAATACAATATCCACTGTTTTTCCCCATACCTTGCAATTCAAATATGTAAATGTACGACTGTTTCAGTATTTTAACATGATGTAAATATCAAATGAGCAAAGTAAGGATAATGGACTAATTGGAAGCACAGTGGTTTTTAAAAAGCCAATGAGGCTGAAATACGCTTCTTGCATCAATTCAGGACTGAGAGCTGGAATGAAAATGACAATGGCTGGACTAAGAAGTTACCAAAATTTAGCAGCTCTTCTGGGGCACAGTGATGGTAGCCTGCACCTGACGTGTGATAATATACATATATAGGGCCACTGTCTTTCACTCGTAGCTCAGAGCCAAGGATTTCCTATGATCAGACCTTGAATCTAAAGGCCAGTTATGAAGAAGAGGTACCTTTGGTACATCTTGTTTGTCAAGATTACCGTGCATCTCTCATGCCTATAGAAAGGGAGAATTCTTTTCTTTTGATTTTCCAACATTTTCTACTTCATATAGAATTGATATTTTGTTAGTAAAATACAAGAATATTTTGAACACTTTTTAAATACACAGCAATGGTAGAACAAATTGAATGTTATGCTCAGCAAAGTGTATCTAAACAGTCATAAAGCTCTTGGGCGGGACTCCAGAATGGCTGTGCGTACTGCCCATCACATTCCACATCTGTGTCTGCGTGTGCTAGCCATTTCCCTGGCCCTTTGTCTCTCTCTCCTCGATGATACTGCTGCTATGGTGAAAAATAGAGAGAAAGAACAACAGGATATTGTCCAGTTCTGGTCTGTGTGCCAACAGTGACAAAATGTTGTTTTCTCCTCTGTTTGAGGATTCTTGTTGGCTGTTATTAGTCCTGAGTGAGCCTGAACACATCACGATGTTTTTAAAATTCTTCCAGTCAGCGTGGAAACCTTGAGTCTGTGGGAGAAAGGTGGTGTCCCATGCCCTGGCGCATACATTTGTGTCCTGGAGGATGATACCGTGACTCATGCAGAGGAAAAGAAGAGTAAAACACAACAGGAAGGCATCCAGCACTGCTGTGTGCCAGGAGGACACCTGCAGAGCTGCCGCAGGGGTGGACATGAGCCACGGGCTGTATGGAGAGTGCTGGGAAAACTGCACGGCTGTGCAAATGTGACGCCAAACTAGGGCGCTATTTCTGGTTTCCGTTCTGCTTTTCTGACACCTGTAGGTAAGCGTGAAGCGCACAACAGACTTCTGCAGTGCCTTGCGGAGCAGAGGAACCATCACAGGGCATGGGATCACAGTGAAGCGTTCTTGCTTAGCAGTTAGGATTAATTATAACCTGGGGATACGAACAATAAATGCGCTGGAGTTGCCAAGGCAGGAGCTGGCTGTGTGTCAGTGCTTGACTGAGGACATACCATCCCGTCAGGACTCCCAGGCAGCAGCAGGTAACACCCGGTGTGCACGGAGCCCCATGGCCAAATGCTGGGGGTTACGGTGGGAGGAGAGGAGGTGTTCGGCTGTTATTTTGGGATGGGATGTTTCTCTATCTAACTTGATGCTCGTCTCAGTCAGGCTGCTTTCAGAATAGGTTATTCGTGTATGGTAACACAATTTATGATTTTTAAGAAAATCTTAGCTTTGACACAGTCTCCTTAACGTGAAATAAACCCCAAAACCCTGCAACTAATGTGAAGTGTTGGCAAAAGCTTTGGCTTCTGCGTGTCTGTGGTTGTGTGGGCCGCCATCCCTTCTTCACTGCACCCAAAGAGAATCACAGACTCACAGAATCGCTCGGTTGGAAAAGCCCTCTGAGATCATCATGTCCAACCGTTCCTGTCTACCCCCTAAACCATATCCTTAAGTACCTCATCTACCCGCTCTTTAAACACATCCAGGGATGGTGACTCCACCACCTCCCTGGGCAGCCTGTTCCAGCTTCTGACGACCCTCTCAGGAAAGAACTTCCTCCTTCTCTCTAACCTGAACCTCCCTTGGCACAGCTTGGTGCCGTTTCCCCTTGTTCTATCAAACAAGGCATCCATGGTGATTAAGATTATTGTGAGAGGATGAAGTGAGGTGGAAAATAGTAAATAAGCCAGATAGTGAGGACAATAATGGACCAGTGTATGACACATTCTGCAATAATGTATCATGTAGGCCACCTACAGCTAAGAGGCAAATAAACGGTTTGAAAGATAAATGGCAGACATTGAAACAAATCCGCTTGAAGTGTGAGAAGTGATGAAGTGTTAGAAAACCACAAAGGTGAAAAAAATAGATGTGCTAATTATATCGTTGTGGGGCTACATAAGAAAAGACTGTGAGGGGGGAAGTTTACGCTGTTTGGTTGTGAAGACTTCAGTGTGGTTTCAGAAAGACTGAGTTGGTGAAGCTGCAACTTTTGTTAAGCTGTAAGCTTAAAAAAATCCTTCTTTATAATTTAACATGTTATTATAGTGTTTTAAAGACCTAGGGTATGAAAAAGTTGGTATGAAAGGCTTCTCTCTACCCCTGGATCTGATTTGAAGGAAGATACTGAAAAAAAAGTCACTAACCACGAAAAAATGTTTTTTATCATAGCTTCATGGCACTTACAGTCAATGAGTTCCCTGGTTGTGCCTTCAGTTCAGGCATGCTGTGTTAATATTTTTAAACATCCTGGAAGCTCTAGGCTGATGAACAGTTTCTGTTGCTGGTATACAAAGCTCTTTTTTTTTGTTTTTTCCTCTTTTAAGGGCTTTTTGAAGTTGTAGAATATTCTTTACTTTGAGCTTTCCTATGTCTAAGAAGAGTAGCTATGTCAGATGTAGGAAGGAAGCTTTCTTTTGCACCGGTTTGTAGATGTTAAGCATTCAATCTGTTGTACCTAAAACCTATTTTCTTTTGAAATACTAAATATTTTGTAAGTATTGGCTAGCTCTGCTTACAGCCAGATCACAGACTGTTAAACAAGACCCAGTTCTGTCAGTGCTTTTATCATGCTTCTGGAAAGAAACCAAAACTTACTCTACTGTGAGTAAATGTGCACAGTTCTTAACTCTGATTTCTGACATGAACATACTGATTTTAAGTCGATGCTACTCTTCTGTCCAGGGATGTTTAAGAATTCTACAGTCCTGTTTTAGTCTTCTGAAATGTCTATTGCTCAGTAATGGTTACAAGACTTTGATATACTTTAGCATAAACTTAAATAATGATCTCTTTGCAGGTGTACTCATCAGATGCTTGCTGTGAATTTTACCAGTGAATCGGCACAAGTAATTCCTTCCTAAACTCACTTTAGGAACTACATCTTGTTCCTCATACTGCTTTAACTCCCAGAGAAGCAATTACACTTAACAAGACCTTACTACGTACTGAAAAATAGAATGACTGAATTCCTGGTCTGTTTTAACTGGTGCAGTGGTGAACAGCCCCAGCCGGTAGGTAGATGCATGGCTGCCGTCCTTTTATCAGATTTGAAGTTTTGTCTTTCAGTTATGTGGAAAATACTTTTATTGTCATGTTGTTTTGATAAGTTTGGGCTAAGTAATGCTAAAGCTAAAACCAGACCTGTTAAAACTGTGTTTAAACTATGTGTGTTTTGCCAGAAACTTTGGCCATGTAACTGGTTACAGTTCTCAGGCCTTGACTTTCCAACATTAAAGAAAGTTTTTGCTAAAAATCAGTTAGCAGTAGTTTCTTTTTTTTACTCTTAATGCAGTCTGAAGCTTCAGCCCAGTGTCAATAAGGAGTCATTGGGGGTCAGTACTGACTGCCTTATTTTTTTTACACTCAGCTGCTTGTTCCTGTCTGAAAGCTGCTCATGTTTTCTGAATAGAGACCTAAGGTATCTTTTTTCTTATAGAAGAGGCGTCGGAGGCTGGACCGGAACATGATAGGAGAACCAATGAACTTTGTACACACTGCGCATGTTGGGGCAGGGGAGATGAGTAGTGACTATTCATCAGTAAGTGTGTACCTTTTGGATAAGCAGAAATCTCCACTCAGTAACCTGTAGAGCAGGTAGCTAATAAAATACCAGATAATTGTAAGAGAAGGAAAAAATCTAACTTTTTTTAATTTCCCCACCCATCAGTAGAATAGCATTAGAACAGAACTGTCCTTTGGTTTGTAAACATAAGATACTGTGGAAGATGTATTCAGCAAGAAGTACTCATTTCCCCAGTGTCTTTACATATGATGAGAACCTTTTAGATAACTATTACAGAATCACAGAATCCCAGACCGTTAGGGATTGGAAGGGACCTCCAAAGCTCACCCAGTCCAATCCCCCTGCCGGAGCAGGAACACCCAGATGAGGTTACACAGGAAGGCGTCCAGGCGGGTTTTGAATGTCTGCAGAGAAGGAGACTCCACAACCTCTCTGGGCAGCCTGGTCCAGGGCTCTGTCTCCCTCACTGAGAAGAAGTTTCTTCTCCAATTGAAGTGGAACCTCCTGTGTTCCAGTTTGTGTCCGTTACCCCTTGTCTTATCATTGTTTGTCACCGAGAAGAGCCTGGCTCCATCCTCGTGACACTCACCCTTTAAATATTTATAAACATGAATGAGGTCTCCCCTCAGTCTCCTCTTCTGCAAACTAAAGAGCCCCAGCTCCCTCAGCCGCTCCTCATAAGGGAGATGCTCCACTCCCTTGATCATCTTTGTAGCCTATTCCGTGAATGCACTTGACACTAGGTCCAGATAACACATCACCCTGAAGTCAAGGCTAGGCCAGGGTGAGGGATGTAAGAATAAGTTAATTTTGGATAGCAAGGCCCTATGCATGTGCTGACTTAAAATACTATTTAACAATTTTATTTGTTACTTCTCCTTACCACTAGAGGCCCAGCACTGTAAATATATGACTCATTTGCCTCATCAAATTTGTGCTTTTAATATTTGCTACCAGACTTTATAAGATGCATGTTCTAATAAGTTCTTTTTTCTAGGCTGTATCAATTCAGGACCACATGAAGTCTAAAGGTGGCTACACAAATGGCACTTCTGCAACTGTTGAGATATAGGAAGCAGAGAGAAGGCTGAAATCTGCTCTGTCTTATGAGGATCTCCTCGACTGTGCTTTCATATGCTCCAAAAAATCCTTATCTTGGAGTAGAGAGAATGCTTGAATTATAAATAGGTCAGTGCAAGCTTTGGTGTTTTTTGCACAATAACTTCTGAAGGAGTTATTGTAAATTATCCTTAAAACGGCCTGTCGTGGTAGTGTTGTAGTAGCAACTGTAATTTGTCACTGTGGGTGATGACTCCCTAACTGTGTCCCAACAGCCTCACAAAATTGTCTTGTAGGATGGCATTGGAAGTCAGTATGAATTGTCTGAGGTTTTGGTTTCTGTCTTTCTCTCCCCTCAAGAAATGCAAAGGTTGATTTTAATTGGAAGGTATCACATGTTGGCACTTTTTACTTGGGTTAAACTGGATCACTAAGTAGGATCTTGTAACCTATAATACAACTTTGAACCTATTTTTTGATGACTTACAACATAATGCATAAATCTACTAAGCTGTACTTTGGGTTTTTTTAGTGTCTTTTGATGATGAATGAACTCATAATATAGTTGAGTCTGCAAAACGCAGTGAAACTTCTGCCTTGCTGTGATAATGCTTTTGGAGCTCAAAATGGAAGTTTTGCAAACATACTCTCAAATGAGGCTTGGAAAAACAGAGGTTTCTCTCAATTACTGGGCTGCCTCCCTGCCATACATGCAGTAGTGTGACTGACAGGTATTACTACGACAGAGCTAATCATATGTACCAGTTAACTTGAAGTGGTGCTACTATATTGCTCACAACTGTGTGTTAATTTTGCATGACAACTGTTGAATTTTAAACTTGCTCTGTTACCCATCTGTAACAGTAACTGCACAGACTTTAAGGGATATCTCACTTGTCTTTCTGGCTCCTTAATTTCAAGACTGTTTTTATTCAGATGAGCTGAATTTTTTCTTGCGTATGGCTTAAATAAAAGGTATGGTTTAAGTGATACAGCCATGTGAAAGAGAAAAACCTTAAGAATATTAGGAAAACTTGCAGGAGAACATTACATGGAAATGGCGCCTTGCAGAGTTCCAGCATTTCATAAATACAGATGTTTAGCCATGCCTAAACTACAGTTTATCACTTGGGTCTTATTCCTCTTTCTCCTAGATGATGTGACAAAACTGCTGAAGTAGAGCTAGGTTTTTGTTTTGCCCTATCACTGATTCCCGAGCTTAAAATTTTGAATGGCTTACCAGTGCAGAAACTCAGGAAACCTGCCTGCTGTCATGGGATTGACTAAATACAAGTGTTTCAATTACTGCCAAATCAGCATCGGTTATGCTGGAAGTCAGCGGAGCTCTCTTTTTCTTGCTCTAGGCATGAGATCAGTTACAAACTTTTTTCCATTAAAAAAACCCAAACCTTATTCTTGCCATATTTTAATGTATTTTAAAATTAGCATGAGTTAGCTATACACTTAGCTTTTTAAGGTCTTTCATATTTCTGTCCTCTAACTTCAGATTTCTTCTGACAGCCTAGTTAAGATACAAAGAAGCAAAATCCTGTGTAATGTTGTGAAAGCATAAAGTGACCAAGTTGTCTTAAATAATAACATCTAACTTATCTGCTATTACATTGAGTTCATGCATTCACTGGTCCCTGCTTATCCAGAAAGAATAGTGGTAGGGCAACTGTGATGAAGAAAACTAGTTGTCGTTTGTTAACGCTGTAAGAAAGCAAATGGAACGGGAGTTTGTATTTCCTGAAGACTCATTCAGTATCAGATGAATGGTGTATGCATAACTAGAAATAACAAAGGTGGTGGTCATATCGGTTTTTCTCTCTAAAAATAAACCAATGGAGATGACTTTGTTATTAAACCCTTATTTATAGAGAAATCCTATTTTTATTAAGTAAACTAAACAGCACTAGATGGTGTAAAATTAATCTGTTTCCATCGGCCTATATAGGACCATATTAAAGTTAACTAAATCATCACAATATTAAAAGGAAATGTTTTGCTATTGAATTAAAGGTGCCGTTACTTTTAAAATCTAAGCAAACCTGAAAGCATGTCTTAGAACTTGGGTATTTTTTGCGGTATATTTAGAAACCTTATTTAGCTGTAATCTTTCATGTAACTCAGCATAAACCTATCTTGGTTATAATAAATCTGTTCAACTAGGCACTTGCACTCTTATATTGTGAAAATCTTGGTATTTCTCTCTGCACTGCAAACGCGTTGGTCGGGTGGGTGGATCAGCATGGCTCGAAGCTTTATTGCACAAAATCGAATTTCTCCAGTAGAGAGCACACTGGTACGTCAAGTCTCCGGTCTCTGCTCTATGCGAGCTGTTAGTACAGTGGGGGTGATTTGGTTTGGTGTTTGGTTGCTTTTTGGGGTATTGCTGTTTTATTGTTGGGTTTTTGTTTGGGGTTTTGTTTGTCTGTTTTAATTTGGTCGGAATAAAATACAGCAAATGAGACCAAAGTATTAAACTTTTTAATCTCCCTTGCAGGCTGTGAAGACCTTGTATCAGCACAACGGGGCAATGAAATGTTACTGCTCTGACTTGATGGCATTTTATGGTTTCTTTTTGTAGTTGGAAGTGAAATAACTTGCAAGTGGAGCAGTACCAAGGCTTTCATATGTAGTCTGGCAGAGTCTTAGCATAAAAAAGGGGGTGTGGGAGTTAGCTGTTATTTTAAATACTGTCTGTCTTATCCCTTGATTTCCCTGCTAGACTTTACTGACTATTCCATAATGTTGCATAAAACTGCAGTCAGTATACAGAAAAAGCATTTGGCTTTTCCACAGGCTAATATGTCTTTTTACCTGCTGCAGCAGCTGTATAACAATTATGTGGTGTCACGCTGTGTTCCAAGTCAGCCTGTAATGTCGTAACTTGCAACCCAGGCACGTAGTGCTCTTCCTGTGCATGGCCTTGCTGTAGCTTCCACTTTATAGACAAAAAATGTTTGAGAGATTAATAAATACCCTTACTCTTACTGTGCCAGCAGG